AAATTTAGGTCTGAGTCCAGAACTACACCAAGATTTCTGGCTTGATTTGTAGGTTTTAGTGTCATGGCGTCAAGGTGAGCACTGACTATTGATCTTTGTTCTTTGGGGCCAAAAACAACTATCTCAGTTTTGTCTGTGTTTAGTTGTAGAAAATTCTGGCACATCCACGTATTGATTTCGTCAATACACTTATTTAGCAGATGTAGAGGACTGTAGTCATCTGGTGACACTGTTATGTAAAGTTGTGTGTCATTTGTATAAGTATGGTAGGAGATGTTATGATATTCCATAATCTGAGCAAGAGGGAGCATATAGATGTTGTCAAAGGTCAAGGTCACTGTGATCTTGCATCAGTCTCATTCTGTCGGACTAAATATCTCAAGAATAGCTTAACTGAATTTCATCTGAATAGATTTTGGTGGTCAAAGGTCACTGTGACTTTGTCTGCATATGGGGGGGGGGGGGGGGGCAGTCAGTCCATAGGGACTTGGGTTGGGAACCGGAGGGTCGCCTGTTCAAGTCCCCGTCCAGACCAGTGTGGCCTGGTAGCTGGAGAGGTGCCAGTTCACCTCCTGGTCACTACCAAGGTGCCCCTGAGCAAGGCACCGCACCCCCTCGCTCGGGACGCCTGACCAAGGCAGCCCCCTCACTCTGACATCTCTCCACTTAGTGCATGTATAGGTCCTGTTTGTGCATGTGTGTGTTCGGGCCTGTGTGTTAATGACAACAAGAGTGAAAAAATTGAATTTCCCCTCAGGGGGATTAATAAAGTATATAAAATTTTAAAAACAATAAATTAAAATTCTTGTGAATGCAGTAGCTCAAGAACAGCTTGAGGGAATTATATCAAATTTGGCACAAGCTTCCACTTGAAGTCAAGGATAAACTGATTCGATTTTGGTGGTCAAAGGTCAAGGTCACTGTTACCTTGCATCTGTCTTATCCTTATTAATGCAATTTCTCGTGAACACCTGAAGGAATTTTTTGTTTAAAATTTAGCACAAAGGTCCACTGGGAATCAGGGGTGAACTGATTGGATTTTGGTGGTCAAGTGTCAGAAGTCAAGGTCACAGTGACCTTGCATCCATCTCATTCTTTTGAACTCTATATGTCATAGCAGTTTGAGGGAATTTTCTTTAAATTTGACACAAATGTCCACTTGGACTGAGGAATAAACTGATTAGAATTTTGTAGTCAGTTCAAATAAAAGGTCAAAGGTCACTGTGACCTCACAAAACATGTTTTTGTCCATAACTGAAGAATTCATGTACTGATTTTGGCAAAACGTGACACAAATGTCTAATAGGTTAAAATAATGAAGGTCAACAGGTCAAAGGTCAGCTTGACTGTGACATCATCACGTTTTAACGTTACATTTGGTCAGGTACTGCAGTGGTGACTCTGAACTTGAAACTGATTGGTCAGATCTTCTGTTTGATGGAAACAGTAACTTGACCAGAGGGCGGAGTTATATGACTGCAGGGGTGTGCTTCCTCATTGTGTGATGTTATGTGTTTCAGGGCGGGGTCATGCTGGTGTCCCACGACGAGCGTCTGATCCGGTTGGTGTGTAAGGAGCTGTGGGTGTGTGAAGCCGGGAAAGTGAGACGCATCGACGGCGGTTTTGATGAGTACCGAGACATCCTGCAGGAGCAGTTCAGGAAGGAGGGGTACCTGTGAGGCTCCGCCCACTGACACAAATCCCACCCCCGTCTCTTTAACATCATCCTGTCATTACAGCCAAGCAGTGGCTCGGAGCAGACCGGAGGACGTTTTCCTCTCTGAACTGTCTCACCTGCTGCTGCGAGCTGATTGGTCATTTCTGTTCACCTGTTGAGGTCACAGTGAACTCTGACAGAGGAGGCGGAGCCATCACCAATCATTTGGAGTTTATTTAAAAGTTAACGTCACGTTGAACCTGAATTTTGTTTTGTATCATCAACTCTTTTATCAGTTTGAAAGGACGCTTACATTCAGAGACACTCCCCAAATAAAGGCATCAGATCATGTGTTCACTCTGTCTTCTTCTACTGTCCTTTAACACGTTCATCAGAGTCTGGTCACGCCACCAACGTGGACGCCATGCCGAGGACCAACTGGTAAAAGTGCATCAAATTTTATGAACTGTTGATGTAATTTTAATAAAGTTAAACTGACAGATAAACAAAGAGCAGTAAAAAGTATTTCCCTCTGAGTTTTAGCACGAAGTACAGATGTGTCTGGAGTACTGGAGTACTGTACTGGAGTACTGGAGTACTGGAGTACTGTACTGGAGTACTGAAGGTCAGTCTATGTCTCCACAGTGGCGATAGCTGTGACCAGAGGCATTATGTTTTCTGATGACCCACCTATTGTTGTGAGTGTAATATCTTGAGGTAACTTTTGGCTCAAACGTCCACTTGGACTCAAAAATTAACTGATTAAAATTTGGTGTTCAAAGGTTAAGGTCACTTTGACCCTCGCAGCATCCCATTCTCGTGAACATGACATCTCAAGAACACCTTGATCTAATTTCTTCAATTTTGGCACAAACTTCCACTTGGACTCAACAGTGATCTTATAAGATTTTTGTGGTCAAAGGTTAAAGGTCACTGTGACCCCACTTGTCTCATTCTTGTGAACACAACATCTCAAGAACACATTGAGCTATTTTTCAAAATATTTGGCACTAACATCCACATGGACTCAAAACTGAACAAATTAGATTTTGGAAGTCAAAAGCTGGACGGCACGGTGGTGTGGTGGTTAGCACTGTCGCCTCACAGCAAGAGGGTTGCCGGTTCGATCCTGGGCGTGGGAGCCCTTCTGTGCGGAGTTTGCATGTTCTCCCTGTGTCAGCGTGGGTTTCCTCCAGGTGCTCTGACATGTTCTCCCTGTGTCAGCGTGGGTTTCCTCCAGGTGCTCTGACATATTCTCCTTGTGTCAGCGTGGGTTTCCTCCAGGTGCTCTGACATGTTCTCCCTGTGTCAGCGTGGGTTTCCTCCAGGTGCTCTGACATGTTCTCCCTGTGTCAGCGTGGGTTTCCTCCAGGTGCTCTGACATGTTCTCC